AGAAAGACAAACACTGGATGGTTTCATTTATATGCTGAGCCTCTGGCCTGTACCCCAGTTCTGTACAAATAAATAAATCTTTAAAAAAAAAAAAAGAAATTAACTTCCGACTCTCCCAGGTGGAGTAAAGGTTAAAAGCGCAGCACTGCAAGCTGGCTGTAGCCACTTCAGTATGAGTTCCATCCCCCGCACTGCAGTGACCCACATGGCGTGGCAGACCTCTCCTGACCCACCCGTTGCTCCCCTCAGCAGTGTACTCATAGATACCTATATTTATTACATAATTTAAATCAGAATATAATCCCTCTGGGAGTCAAACTTCTTTTACATATGATTACAAGATAAAAAAAGAATACTATAGATGGATGATTCAAAAAAAATTACACAGAGGTGATATTTGAAGGATTCCTCAAACTCTAAAGTTAAGGAAAAATGCAATTCATTCTAATTCAAAAAAGTTTTAATTAAGAAAGAAAATACAAAAGGTTTCCTAGATATACAAAATAACTATCACTAACAAATGCTGTATTTAGTTTTAAAGGCTTACATTTTGTTACTTCCTTAGAATACTTGAATTTCTTAAAAACTTAAAAAATAAAAAATTACTTACCTATTGGATATCCCAAAGCAAAGTCATTACTTTGTGTAGCAAAAATAGGGAATAGTCCAGCTTTGCTAAACCGACTATCAGGACTGGCAACCAATAAGGTCAATACGCACACAATGAAAAATACAGAGGCTTTGGCAATTAAAATACTATATAGAAAAGACCAGTCTACATTGGAAAAATTAAGTACAACCATGTTTTTGAATAACAAAGCTGGAAGTGCAAATCTGGAGACAAAATTTCCCAATCCTTTGGCTTGTGTGGATGTTATAACGTTGGCCCTTCCTGCTATGTAGCCGCAAAGGACTATGCCAAAGCATTCTAGTAAGGCTGGGAAAAGCCTTGTTATTGACATTGAAGGTGTGTCACCAGTGGAATTAAATCCATGTGCTACTGTGGAGGACAATGTCTTGGTCATATTGGTTGCCAAAGTTAAGTTCTCTGCAGGTAAATTGGAAAAAGAATTCATTTTCTTTCACCTTCCAACTCCAACCAGATATCTAAAAAGAAAGGAAGAATGATTCAATGTGACAATCAATAAGAATTCTAGTTGAAAGATTACAGTGGTAGGGCCCTCCCTGGTGGCGCAGTGGGTTAAAGCACAGCACTAAGAAGCTAAAGCCACTTCAGCATGAGTTCAATCCTCCGCCTACGTGGTGCGGCAGACCTCTCCTGACCCGCCCACTGCTCCCCTCAGCAGTGTACTTCATCAGTCTCCCTGTTTTGCTCCCCACTCTGTCTCTGGTGAAGCCTCTCCCCACCCTTGCACCTCTGGCCTGTACCCCAGTTCTGTATGCATAAATAAATCTTTAAAAATTAAAAAAAAAAAAAAAGAAAGGTTACAGTGGCAAGCCTAGACTTACTAAACAGCCAGATAAACACACATAACTCCTTTAATTATCATCAGAGAAAAATACAGTTAAAGGGGCAGGGGGTAGGGACAGGTGTATTGGCTAACAATGCCCTCTCAAAGGTTGATGGGCTCAAAATGTTTGTTACTGTCCTGTATTCAGAATGTGACACAGTATAATATTCAGAATGAGACACAATTATTCCAGCTACCACACTTCAGTACTTCTTGCATGCCCCCACAGTCCCTTCATGCTACAGGGCCTCTCACTCGCAGTTTACTCTCAAAATGTGTTTTTGTGGCCTCACGATATGCCACTCTCTGCATAACAATACTTAGTCACCTTCCAGCTCATATAGTTCAGGAGTCATCTTACTGTATAAGTTTTCTCTGACCCCACTTTTATTGCCAGAGAAGTAGGGGCTGCGTGTGTGAGTATACATGGGATGTATGTGTGTGTCTCTTTAATATATCACTAAATAAACTGCTCTTAAATAAGCCCTTTACCCTTTACTGAAGCAATGTTCTCTTTTGGAACTATCTAGTTCATGAACAGAAAATTTACTTTTGAATGATAAAGTATTCTAAGTTTTTTACTATAGAAACAGACCCAAGACCACAAACATGTTCTAACGCGACTCATAAAACGTGTTGTGAAATATTCTACAGAAAAACATTACAATGCTTATCAGACGCCTTGCTTATTGCTAGGGACATGATGTTCTGCAACCAATCATCTTTGTTGTTGTTGTTGTATATAAGTTAATCCATTTATTATAAGCAAGCAGTCTTCCCAATGGTGGCACTTCATACAACTCCACAAAAAGAAAACGAATAACATAAGTTAAAAATGGGGAGAATTAAATAAGCACTTTCCAAAGAACTGTTGGCAATTGGCCAACAGTTATATGAAAAATTTTTTGCCATTACTTATCAGAAGGGAAATGCCAATCAAAACCACAATGAGCTACCACCTCACACCTGTGAGAATGGCTCAACTCAAAAAAAAAAAACAAAAAAAAACAGCCTAGAAAAAAATGCTGGTGAGGTGTGGGGAAAGGAAACCCTCTTATACTGTTGGTAGGAAAGAAGACTGACTCAACCCCTATGGAAAAAAAACGCTAAGACTGGATCTACAATATCACTCAGCAATTCCACTCAAAGAATACAAAAATACTAATTCAAAAGGAACCCTGCACGTCTATGTTTATTGCTGCACTATTAACAATAGCCAAGACATAAAGACAACCTAAATGCCTCAGAACAGGTGAGTGGATCAAGAAGATGAGGTATACATACACACAATGGAATATTATTTGGAGATCAAAAAAGAGGAACTAATGCCATTTGCAGCAACATGGATGGAGCTAGAAGGGATTATCTAAGTGAAGTGAGCCAGAAGGAGAAAGACAAACACTGGATGGTTTCATTTATATGTGAACTATAGAGAAACCAAACAAAGATCAGATGAAAACAAACTTAAAAATTGACCCTTGAAAGCTGACCATAGATCTGAGGCATCCAGACAGGAAAGGGACAGAGAGGAAGAGGGGAGAAAATACAGAGGGAAGAGAACGCAAAGGGCTATGGTGGGTGACTGAGGGTGCTTTGGTGGTAGGAAAACTATGGTGACCATACCCCAGTGGGGAAATCCTATACTGTGAAAAATCAAACAAGGATGTAAAGTAATGATACGTCATTAATTAAAAATAAAAGTAAAACCAAAAAACAAATGGTAAAGCTTCTACTGTTCTTTTCAAGTCCTTCAGTTTTCTAAAGACAGACTTGACTGTGATGGCAGAACTGGGGTTGTAAGTCCGGGTACCAAACTACCATCTGCATGCAGGAACCGCTGTGCCAGATCACCCATGGCTCATCTTCTTTTTGCCACAGGAGCAAGGGTACTTGGCGTGTTAGCTGATTTCAATATTCTCCACCATTTTCCTGAGGGAAGCACCATAACAGGTCTTGTATTGATTGATGATTCCAACCTTCTTGGTGTGGTTAGCCATGCTGACATAAACTCAGTCTGAGCTCAGAGAGCCTATTCTGTTTTTATTAGAGATTGAAAGTTAATTAATTAGTTGCTAATTTCTAGGTGATTATCCCAGATTAACAATCTAAAATGACTTTATGTGAGGTAGAGAGTGAAAAAACTCATGCTTCCTACTATTTACAATAATGAAGTTAAATTCTCAAACACCCACATCACATTAAAAACACTCATATGGCAGAGCAGAGACTGGCAACAACTGATATGTGGGGGTGTGGATGAGATAATTTTCTCTGTGCTACCCCAGGTATAAAGCGAGCCATTTAAAAACCTTACATTTAATCTGGATTAAGACAAGTATTTTTCTACCAGGATTAGGTAGGAGTGGTCAAAATACACAAAACCTACAATATTCACATACTTGAAATCTATCAAATAAGCATCAAATTCTATCCTGGGAAAGCATCTGTTTGGTATAGGTACTCATAGTTGAAATAAGGAGCCAGTGAGCAATGAACAAATGGTAAAATATTTTGAGCCCCTAAGAGGGATGAATAATAAGGTGACAAACTACTCCAAATCTCTGTTGTTTAAAAAAAAAAATCCTTATATTTGCCAGGAGTGTAACATACTGTTAATAACTCCTTATTTGTGTCACACTTGCATATCGATGTTTTCCAACATGTTTTTAACCAGTAGTGGTTGTTCGGGGAAAAGAGTCAAACAGACCTGAACCTACTTGGGGTTTTACAGCTCATCAACTCTTTGGTGGCCAAGCTACTTAGCCTCTCAGAAACTTAACTTCCTCAACTGTAAAATGAGAGTAAAACTCCACTTACCGGGATAGTGTGAAAATCAGAGATTTTATATACAGCTTACTCCTACAGCTTATCACAAAGCAGGTCTTCAGGAAATGGTACCACTGCTATTTTGCGTTGTAATTCTGATTATAATAACCACGTAACATTAAAAAACAAGTCATTGTCTTATGCTAGTTCTACAAACATCTTGGTACTGAAGATTCACCATTAAAATGGAAGGTCAAAAGTTTTTGCTTTATACAAAACAACTTAAGAGGAATTCAATTCAATTAGTTTGATCTTAAATAGCTGTTAGAAGGGAAGGGCGAGATTTTCATTTTGGTTAAGGTGATGGCTAAGAAGTTGTAAAATGCCCAGGTTTAAACTTTCAATGAGTTGAAAATCAAGGGAAAACTTGGAAAAGTAATCTGCCCCTTCCCATGAAGTTTCTTTTAATGTTACTCAAAATGTTGAAAAAAGCAATACCTGTTTTATCTCATCTTAAATAATTTTTTCCCCTCAGTTGGAGAAAAATATGCTTCCTAAAGCATTCTTTTGTAATGAACAGGAACCACAGCAAGGGAAGTTTAAAAAAAAAAAAATAGCATCCAGCCTTTTCATCTAGTTAAAAATAAGTTTTGTTATAGAACAAACAAGTTGACCTAAGATTGTAAAAGGGACTGCTCACCATGAGCTCACCGGGACTTGGAGGTGGGAAATGCCACATACAAACCACTTCTGGTCACTTCATAGTTGATTTAGATAACATCATGGACCCACTGAAATCATAAACAACTATTAAGTGAAAATGGGGAAGAGGGTTCTGATTAACTTCAAAGCGAAAGCGTTGAACTCAGGGTGTCGGTTTCCCAAATACCCAATAGCCTTTACCCCATGGGAAAAGCACGGTACAGTGAGGTACAATTAAAGCTTCAACATCACCCACCCTCCACCCACTTCCACCTACTTGCATTGGACCAAATGTCCTCTCTAAAGACCTAGAGTGGGGAGCACTGAGCACAGCCTCTTTCCCCTGCTGGCAGCGACAGACTTTGGCCCTTCAAGATAAGGGTTGTGGGGACTCTAAACAAATATGCTGTCCAGAGAGCAGCTGCCACCCAATGCCTGGGCAATCAGCAGTGGAAGTGGAAAAGCAGCTGGGGGTCTGTTGCTGGGATTAAAAATTTTTTTTGAAAAGTTGGTTGTTCAGCTTCCGCAGGGCATGCGTATCACAACCTCAGGGGAATTGACATGCTCCAAAAAGGAGTAAGGGTGAAAATTTGATCATCGCTCTGTCTATCATCGCTCTGTCTATCTTGGGAGAAGCTCTCAGGACACCCAGATACTGAGGCCACCCTGGGATAAATGGAAGCACCTGAGAAAGTCAGGGTGTACGCACGCACGTGCAATGAGGGACTCCGTAAATTGGGGGGTGGGATGGATGGTGGTTCTATCGCCGGAGGGGAGAAACCGCCCTTTCCCCCAGCTCAACCTGTGGTCCCGCACATCCCAAAAGCTGGCGGCGCCCGACAGGGGAGGACAGGTGCAGGCTGTGGACTTGGGCTCCACCGGCTGGCGCTGCCCACCTGTCCAGACCCGAGGGGAGAAGGCACTGGGGACCGTCAAGGCCGAGCCCAGATCCCGCAGGTCGGCGCCCCTGGGGTGCATCTCACCTGCTACGTCTGCAGCCCCGGGGCCGCGGGGAGAAGGGAGTCGGTGCTTGCGGTGGGCCAAGCAGGGAGGAATTCACAGTCATCTCCCACCCCAGTCCTCCTAGCCGGCTCAGTCACGTTCGGAGAAAGTGAGGTGCGGGTAAGTCAAGGCCTGGTCAGCTCCTCCCCGCGCTGGCCGCGAAACCCCGCCCTCGCCCCGCCTTCACGCCCGCCCAGGCCGGGAACCACCCGGCCGCAAGGCCCCAGGGCCCGCCCACAGGCCCCGCCCCCGTGCCAAGTCCCGCCCCAACGCCCACAGGCCCCGCCCCCGCCGCTAGCCTCCGAGCGGCGCGGCCCCGGGACCGCCCCCAGTCGGGAGCCGCCGTGCGAGGTCTTGTCTCCATGCCCCGCCCACCACCTCAAGCCGGGAAGCCGCAAGGCGCCCCCCACAGCCCCGCCCTCAGGCTCCGCCCCCGACCCCCGGCTTGCAGAGGCACACAGTCCCTGCCCCCGCCCCGCAGACTGCGGGCCGCCAGACATCCAGCTCCGGGCGGTGCGACTTCCGGCCCCTGGCGCCCGCAAAATGGCCGCCGCGGTGGGGACTCTATTTAGTCTCCTTTTCCTTTTTAAATTCAAATCTAGAGGCCTTTTGTCTTTCTCTTTAACCCAGGCCTTCTGTGATTCCTTCCTTAGCTTAGTTGTTTTCATAGCAGAGTTTAAAACGACCTAGTTCAGAATCCGGCCTTTCCTAAGGCAGTGTGACCTTGACCACCTCCATCACATTAAAATGTCTGAAACGTCAGCCCTAAACTTGATTTTGAATAAGCTTCAGTCACTGACTACTTGTGTTTTTATTACGTGTGGGGATACTTAGAGTGTAACGAGCAGAAACAGGTTGTATTGGTAGAAAACTTGCAAAGCTGCTTGAAATGAGGGATTACCAATGTAGAGCTTCCTTTTGAAATCTAAAGAAACCTGTATTTGAATTAGTCCTTAGGAATAAAGAATTATTTCAAATTTTAAGATATTTAGAACGAATATCTTAACATCATCACAGACATCTGTCCTTTGTAAAACCTGTTTTGCTTTTTATCTTTTTAATGTATCTGGTGTTAACTGGAATAAAAGTCTCACTGATAATTAAAAAAAAAAACGAGTTAGCAGTCAGATTTTAGTTTATATTGGTATTCTTGCAGGAGGGTTCTGGTTCTAAGTTGTTTTGACTTAATGCTATCTCTGTAGAGGGAAGCAATGCTGGCAGGGCTTAATCTCTTTCTGAGAAATGCAGTGTGGCCATGCAAAGGGTGGGTACCCATTGTTAAATCTTTATCCAGTTCCTTAGTCCTTAGTGGAGATTGATAAGACTGGCTATACTGGAAGGCAGCAGATTTTGCCTAATTTGCCTGACTTCAATTCTGCAAATGTATTTGGATTTACTCTCTGGTCTAAAGCAGGGGGTGGGAGGCGGTTCTCAGAACCTTCTATAGTATTCTATAGTATGCTCATACAGGCTACATCAATGTCTTTTTATCCTCTTGGCAGTTTTGGTGCTGTCAGGAAGGGAGGAGGGAAGGATGAGTCTTCCTCTTCCCTTTCTGTGCTAGGCTGGCAAATTGTCAAATTATCATCAGACAGATTGACAAGAGGAAAAAAAGTTAAAAATTTAATAATATGTGTACCTCTCATATACATGGGAGATACCAGTAAAAAGCAAAATGGCTTGACACCTTTTTAATTTTTTTTTATTATTATAATAGCTTATTTTTACATTATTTTGTGCCCTTTCCCATCTCAGTTGTAATGTTGTAATCCCCGTGGACTTCCCATCACCAATTCACTGTGTGTCATCACCATAGTCCAGTGCACTCCCTCCACCCCATTTTTTAATCCATTCCCACTCTACCCCTGTAAAATGTCTCTAGTATATAGTTATTCATTATTATTATTCCCCCATCTAACCCCCCTCCCCCTTTATGCTCCTGCTATGAGTGAAACCATCTGGTATTTTTCTTTTTCTTTCTGGCTTATTTCACTAAGCATGACCCCTTCCAGCTCCATCCATGTTGCTGCGAAAGGCGGCTTGACACATTTTTAAATAATTTAAGACAAAGGATGGTGGAGGTGGGAAAAGGGCAATTTTGACAAATTATTAGGAAAGGTACATTAAACAAGGGCATGAATATTATGCAGATTTAAAATGCTGCTTCCCCTACTGAATTTGAGATTCGGTTTTGTTACAGGGCAACCCCAAACCTGCCTGTTCTAAATAGGTTCTGCCATATGCCACATCAAGACAAAGCATATAAGACCTTTAATGGAAAGGAACTTTAATACAATTAGTGTGCAATACAGAAAAGACAATATAGTTTCTAAAACAGACACCCAAAGTTACCCATCCCCTCGTGAGTAAAAGGGATTGGCCCAAAGCGAGGCTTGAAAACCTGCCACAAGTCTAATGCACCTTCTGGTAGGGACCCATAGAAAAGCGTCAGAAATGGCCAGACACGTCTGGGAGGAAAAGGGCACAATCAAGATCAAGATAAATCTACCATAGTCAAACCTCCCCACGAGTCTCTCACCCACATCTGTTTCAACCACTCCAGGACCAAGGAACAAAAGAAAGTTTCTTCACATGTCTCTGCTCCATGTGCCTCCCTCAGGTCACCTTCTGGCTCTCCATCTTGCTTTCATCTTCTCCAGTCTCCTCTCCAGATTCTTCTCCATGCTCAGCTCCATCCTCCTTCTGGGAGGGGCAGGGAAAAGGGAATCTCCCCTTTTCCTGGGGACCACCCTTGTACATTTTTACTGGTATAGTTAAAGAGATACCCTTATAAATGGAGATTTTTCTTAATACATGTGCATGTCTCTTACAAAAGGGCAACCTCCACCCAACTGTTTAGAGCCTGTCCTATGACATAATCCTTAATCCAGATACATGTAATAGGCAAATTTTGCTCCCCTACAGTACAAAGATGCAAAAATATTACTGAACTTGAAAAAATCAGAGCAAGCTAAAAGTAGTTTTAAAGTATCTAAAAAGTAAGCGCTAGAAAAAATGAGCAAAAGCAAACTACAGAAAGGTTCACACACTTTGCTCTTACACATTTCACCTGTTTTCTTTCTCACTTTTAACTGCCTTCCTTGTATTAAAAATTTAGAAAAATCACAGGTTCTAAAGGAGGTGCTTTTGCTAAGCCCACCAAGACTTAATATCTAACCTAACTGCAGTATCAACCTTCCCCAGGAATATAGTCATGATTGACCAGTAAGGAATTTTCTGGTCTGTACCAATGAGGCAATCTTTTACATTCTCTAGTGGAACATGAGATAATCTGCCACAAAATACTTACCCATTACCTGAGTCTGAAATAATTCCCTCTCCCCTTGTCTTGTCCATCAATGACAGTAAAGTCTGGTCAAATTACAGCAACCAGAGTGACAAATTATAGCGCCAGAGTGACAGTTCTTGTTTACAGTTTGAATATTGTAGCAGAGGTATCATGCGCAGGTGTCAAAGTTTGAGTATTATATCAATAATTAGGGCCATCTGAACTGTAGTCCAGAGGTAGACTCGAGGAGCACCTGAGCTGAATTCAACCAACTTGCTCTAAGTGAAGCATGTTTCCATAGGCCAAAGAGCTGGAGCTAGTTTCGCTTCCAGGGACTGTTTTTCAGTCAGTGTAGTTCCAAGTGGTAGAAAATTTGTCAAACAATGCTTGATTGAATTTCAATCCTGGGCATGGATTGCCATTGCGGTTTCATTTCTTCTTGACTGTGGATCCATCTGCATGTCCCCCTATATTCCAGGGCCCTTTGGATGTACCTGGGACCTAACCCCGAACAACCTCCTTGGCTCTGTTTTGTTATTGAGACTTGGGATAGCTCCATGTAAATTTTTCTTTTTTATTTTATTTACAATGTTTTCTTTCCGCCCATAAAACCCTTTTATTTTGTACATATTTTTTTAGCATCTTCCTTCTTTCTAGATTCATGAATCACTTAATAAAGTGAATTGAGTGTTTAAAGTTAACTGATTGTGTGGTCTAATTTTGGAATTACTGGATTTTGGGGCTCCTGGTCCTTGACTGTGGTATGAGAAGAGTTCCCAGCCACATCTTCAGCAGAAACAAAAGCAAAGTTTATTTAGAGACAGAATGAAGTTACTCTGAGAAAGAGGTCTGCTCAGAAAGTCCTGGGGAGAACAGCAAGAGGGGAGAGAATGGGACTCTTCCCTTAAATGGGTTGTAGGAGTTGCTCACTCTGTCCCTTCCTGGGGTATACTGCAGAGGCGCCATGGCTGTTTTGGCTAATTTGTCCAAAAAGTGGCTTGTAAGTCACTCACCCTTCTGTGTACCTGGGCTTTAGTTTTATCAGCCTGGCCCCAGGTTTGGGGAGGGAAGAACAATTGGTGAGAGTTGCCATGGGTCAGCCAACTCTGCCCTACCCTTGGGAGGGAAAAAACATTCAGAGGAATTATTTCATTGCCCAGGGAGAGACCTGGCATTCCCAGGAAATCCCTCCTCCAGGTGGCTTCTTGCTGTCCTCAGGCATTCCTTGCTTGCCTGTGGGTTGAGGTAGGGGAACTCAAGTCCCCTCTGAGTGTTTCTGGTTCTCCCTGGGGCATTACTAGCTCTGATAGGTGTTTCCTGGAGTCCTGGGTCCAGCTGGCAGCTTAATTTTCCCTAGGCATGGCCTGCTCTGCCCTAAATGTCTAATAGTTGGATTTTTGTTATTTAATGGTAGTTTCTTTTGAAACTGAATACTTAAAAAAAAAGTGGACTTATTATCTCTAGGCTAAAAAAGACTTCTAAAGTCTTTTAAATCAAAGATTCATTCATTCAAATGCATATTAATTGGCCATGGACTTTTAGGGGAATACTGGAAAACGGGTTTGAAAAGGTAATAATTAAACCCTAGGAGTTTCCTTAGGTTGGTTTGATAGTTTAGGTCTTATTTTTTTTTTGGAGCACCATTTAGTATGATCACACTACTTTTGCATATGCAATCTGGTAGTTCCCCCAGGATTAGCTGAAAGAGAGACTGAAGGTGTACAGTGACTAGGGGTGAGGGGGTGGGGAGGAGTGAGGGAGAGGGGAAGAGGACAGGAGTGGGAGGGGGCAAATGAGAC